CCCAAATTAATTCTGCACCCAAAGCAAAAGTGTCAATGAAAGCTTAATGCACTGTGTCCGCAACATCTGCAGCGCTTGGAAGCCAGGATGGTGCACTGCTGAGAATTACGGCGGGACGGCAATGGTGACATGGCACGGCAGAAGGTGAGCATGGTTGAGAGCTCCTCTATGCACTTGCCATTGATAATGAACGGTTCCGAGCGCGCTCGGGAAGGGTGCGATGGCCACAAAGTGGCGAGAACAACTTGCTGCAAGTTGTCAGGAAACCCAAGGTTTCCTGATTTCAGTTGCCACGCGCAATCTCGAGCGCACAAGGGGTCGTAAAAGGCCAAGCAGCGCAGCTCCACATACGCAACGTGAGCTTCCTCGGCGTTTGCGTCTGCAGCAACTGGCTTATCATTAGAGGGCTGGGCAGCACCATTCACTGGCCAAGAATCATGAGCCGGGGCCTGACTGTAGCTGCATGTCAGAACTGTCCAGAGAGACCCGTTGGGCAACACTGTGCCTGAAGCATGGCCGCTGTAGTCTTGGAGGAGCCATCCTCAGTGCCAGCAAGGGCTCACTGCTCAAAATAGCTCCGTAGGCGTCTAAGGTTGAATCTTGCCTAGCAACAGGTGAGACACCAATTGCTGCTTCTAGTCTCCCTCGTTTGTGCTTGCTATTGCTGCACGGTGCTCACGTGCGAAGCCATGACCGTCACCACCACCAACGGGCTGCATTGTGACGTCCTCGTGCCCTGGCATCGACTTGGCAGCCATGATCAGTGAGCAACTGTTGAGGGTCTTGTTAAGATTGATGTCCCTAGACAGCTTCGATGCGGCTTCTGATGGCTCTCATATCAATGATTCTCGTTGTTCGGCGTGTATTGCAGTTGAGATTTGCCAGACATTTGAAGGTGGGCAGCATCTCAGCAAGCCGTCCAACGGCAGTGTGCTCACCGGAGGACCCGGTGGTCATCAGCAGTGCGGTGCTAGTCACACTTCTTACAGGCTGGCGCGGCTAAACATGTTGACCGAGCCCGAAGGACACCCTGGCTTCGGCAAGCGATTTGTTACAGTCCACTGGTCGCACAGCAGCGGTCATAGAAGATGATCAGAAGACTGTCCTTGGAGTGCTCACCGAAAATGACATGCTGTTTCTTGGCGTATGACAGTGGGCTTGCTTTGCGCAAGATTTCTGAAGTATCAAAGGGTCCGCTCCGGACACGAGTGTCTACTGCCTACAGCCCATGCACATACCTGCAGTAAGGACTCCCGAACAGGAACCAATCATTCTACTGCCACGCAGCAGGGAAACAAGCATCTCCTCAGGTTGGCTTTTGTGGAGGGAAATGCTTCCAGCTGCACAGTCGGCCAGTGGCTTCATGGCGGGGAGGCTCCTGCTGGGAAGTCCTTTCGCAGGGTCCTTGCGTGGGATAATAGTGTGGGGGTGCTCAACGCGAAGGTGCAGTGGAATGAGTGTGCCTATCCCTATCCGCTGATTCTACAAGCCTCCGCTCCCGCCCCAGCAACATTAAACATTCTGCAGCCGAAAAACTGTTGGTTATTATGGGCAGCATAGTTTGAATGAATTGGATAGGCCCCAGGTAAGATCATATAAAAGCTAGCCTTTTCGGAATAATTGCGACTCCCGAGTAATCAAGTATTCAATTGGATTGTCGGGTGTGTTAGAATTCAGAATTGACTGTTCGAAGTGGGTACCATGAAGCTGGCAGATGAAATTCACTCATGAATGGGTGAGTTCCTTTTTCATGAAATGAACTCATGTGTTTGTATGCGTTAACTTACTCAAATCAAGGAACTCGAGTAAGTTCACGAATTAGTTGTTGTAAGATTGCTTAATCGCCAACTCGTTGGGATCAACCCATGAGCCCCAGTCGATCACGCAATCCGCCATTCCATCCAAATTTCCGCTAGCTTTTCTATAGGGATTCCTCCATAAAACCAAATCGAACCAACAAAAGCAGAAAATCAAGAAGACCCCTAATTCCTTATGATTCCTTAGACTATAATGTGCCCTCAAGGGCGCCAGAACCCCTCCAGCTTCCACTATTGGGTGGCCCCTTTTGAAAGTAGTCTTTCCTCTTTAGACTGCTCTTCCAGGATTCGGGCCCTGAGTTTTGACATTATCAATGCGTTTTCAGTGTCAGGGGAAGGGATTACAGCAGAGATAGAGAGAGAGGGGCGCGGAGCTGCGCTCCGGTGGGGGCGTAAGGCCCCTCCTACGCCTGAAGAAGCAGAAGAAGCTGGGCTTGAGGCGCAGCATCAGCACTCCTCTGGGGGCAGTGCATAGCCGGTAGAAGAAGAAGAAGAAGAAGAGAGCGAGACAGACATTCTTCAATGAGGAAGGTCCTTAAGGGCATCCATTTTTTCGGAAGTCCCCACATTTGCAACACAACTTCGGGGGGAGCCATTTTACTGGAAACGCTCACCTTGATAAGGAACGGGAATCTTCTTTGATCCCAGACAATGGTAGATAACGCTGGCAATAGATGCAGTTATCTTTGCAGGCACGATTGCCCAACTTCCTGGTGCCGCCACTGTCCCTTCAGCCGGATGTGTCACTTATGGAGGCTGCTGCGCGCATGGCCGTGATGACAAATGGCCCCTTGTCAAACTAGCTGCCCCTAGAACCTGCCTCAGATCCTCAGATTGCAGTGTTCGCACTCAAGGTGATTTTGCTTGCCATCATCTTTTGGTGGATCCTGGCGACAGCTCGCAAAATGTAGCCTTGCTGTCTGCTTTGGACATTGCCCGGGGGCTCCTGGTAGCTGTCTCCGCGCAGGTTGGTCCTGAGGCGAGTTGAATGGGTGAATTTGTTGAAGACATGCCGGAGGGCCAGAAACTAGTGCACTTGATGCTGTAGACCATGCAGCACAACCATGCTGCTGCAAGACAGTCCGAGTTATGAAGCAGAGTTGTTTATCCAGTCATGGTAGTGTTGCCATGAGCACCGCCAGAAGCTCCCCTTGTCAAACACGGGGGGGAATGACGGAAGGGACATGATTGAAGTGTGCTTTCAGCGATTTCTCGAGTTCTGCAAGGAGCTGTGGTACAAAGGTTATTGTCTTGTCCTGAAGCGTCATAGGCAATGGAGGTGGCAAAGATGTCTGTGACACGCGCCATGAAGCCGCGGGCGCAAGTTCCCAGTTGCATCTTGCATTGAAAGCAGCACAGCTGGTCTTTGAGGCAGCGACAGATGGGCTTGTTTCAGCTAGTTGCTTCTTGGGTTGAGTGTTCAAGCTTCCAGGCACGCTGGCAGACAGCCTCGGTGATGCCTTGGACCTGCTGCACAGCTCGAATCAAAATTGTGTTTTGGCCATTCCATCTTCAACTGAAGATGAACTTAGCCCTGAGCTCAGGCTGCATCAAATTGTTCTGTCTGCAGCTGTTGACCCACCACGCTTGACATGTGAGGTGACCAGGGCGCGGAGCATGCAATCGTGGGCGGCGCTATCACACCGGGCGATGTCTTGCGTGCAATTTCCGAGCGAGTCAACTGCAGAAGCTTGAGCTTGGGGAAATGGTTGCACAGGCACTCTGCGGCAGCGGTAATTCCATGAACAGGCTAGCGCAAGAGGCATCTAAAAGTATTGAAGACTAGACTGAAACGACCGGGATTGGAATCCTGTCAGATGTGACAGAAGCAGCTACAGGTCCGGCATCAGCCCGGAGCACCGATTCATTTCTGCGGAGAGCTCTTTGGCTGATGCTGCTGCAAGCGCCTCAACGTTGCGAATGCACGCTTTGCAGTCTGTGTGGTCAGCTTGCTGCAGTGCCATCATGTCATTCATGCTTAGGCGATTATGTGCAAAACGGGCATTCACCACCTACTTGTGGAAGAGCCAGCAAGGTCAAAGATTGTTTGTCGGCGGCAATTAGCATGGGTTAGCCCTTCTTGGAGCATCCATTGGCACCAGTGGTTTCAAGACATCTTCGGCTAGCACTGAGGTTGGCGTAATTTCAGCCCTGGATATTGTTCGTGCACTTGCAGCGACAAACATCGCTAACTTGGCCAGCTGCTAGCTGAACGGCACAGGGACGCTGTACAGCAAGATAAGATCTTCTTTCAGGAGTCAGGGCTTCATTTGTTTCTAAAAGCTCTGCGTTTCACTGCGGTTCCTAGATCCTTAGCTTGGGTCTTCCTGCACGGAGACGGCCACGAGCAACAGAGTTCAGAAAGTAGGGTCTAATGTGGATGCCATTGCTACGAGTAGCAGGAAGACCCAACTTCAGCATGTGCGAGGCACAACTGCGGTCAGATAGCTTGCCGCCTGTTAAATTGGCACTTCGGCCCCCAGCTTGCCTCCCTTTGATCCCGTTTGAAAGCAGCCTGGCCTTACAGAGAAGTGTGTACAGGGCATTCCGGCACAGGCTTCATGAGAGGCTCTGGTACGAATGCACATGGGCGCCAGTCTTGCGGACGATGGCGCACGTGATTTATAGAATGAGCAAACGTCCCATGTCAACTGCAAGGCGCTTGCAAGCAGACACGACATTGTTAAGCATATTCCGCAGTCCTCTGTGATGCGTTGCTGCTGCTACTTTTTTGGGCCGAACAAGTGAACCGCTTCTAGTTGCAAAGCGCTCTCCGTTCGGGATGACTGGGCAGAGCGGCGCCCCAGATGCAAGGATATGCACGGTAATGAGATGCTAGTCTCATGGGCTCAAGAGCTTGCTGAGGAATCGGTGCGCCCAACAACCCAGAGAACAACTTTTGGTTGTGGGGCATTTGGGGCAAGCGTGTGCCTGCTCTCATGTCAGTACTTGCTTTAGATTGTTTTGGATCGATTGCTGATATCACCGGTTCCCACAAGCGTTCTAAAAGCAGACCCGCATAGAAGGAGTCTCACCTGGAAGGTTTTGGAAGTGTGGCAACATTTTCAATCATGGCACTTGCCTCGCATGGCATCGCATGAGGTCGTCAAGGCCCCATTTCTGACGCAAAGAGTGCCGGGAAAGATTCGCGACATTATCATTGGTCAGAACTTTATCATTGCACTCAAAGAGGACGCGCTGCGGTTCGGCGGATTGTCTGAAGGTTTCAGCCTTAAGACGGCCTAAGCCCACAGGTTAATTCAAAGCTGAAAAGCTAAAATGGGGACCAGATGTACAAAGTGAGAGGCCAACACAACGCTAGATAAAAGCCAAAAATATGAACAAGCTAGGTTAAAAGCTTCAAAAGACGCGCTTGAGTTTCAGTTTGATTGTACTTGTCATTCACTTGTTTCGCTCATGGGCTTTGCCCAGGATCACGCTAATTTGCGGTTCCGCGCAAGCGGGCCCGGATGTAACCCGAAATGGAGACACGGAAAGCCCAAACTGCTGAATGCAGCTATAGGAGAGCTCACCAAAGGCCAACGATAAATGTGTTGAAGCTACTGGCAGAAGAGGCACTCAGGAAGTAGAAGCTCCGCCGTCAGAGTGTAGCCCCGGAGGATGGAAGCTTGGTGTCCTGGGGTGAAGACAAAGTTGGCTGTCTTGGCCTTGGCACAGAGCAGGTCAATGCACCCTGGCCAAGCAACACAGGTGCTTATCTTTGGTTTTATAGTTCATGAAAGCTGCGGGCATCTCCGCGCAGACTCCCTTTGCCTTGGCTGGTTTGCAATCGTCACCTCTCGAGGTACAGGATCCGAAGAAGATCAACTTCCCGTCCGACTACAAGGGGAAGATCGTTGACGTTCAGTATGGCAAGCACCATGTCCTTGCGTTGACCAGCCGCGGCAAGGCGCAAGTTGCTTCCGGCAATCAGAGCCCCATTAGCGATCCCCGTAGAGCTGGCTGCAACCCCGTGCGCTGTTTAGATTCGTCGCATCCACTGCCATAAGCCCTTGATTGACATGACATCTGCGATGCATGACATGCCTTGAGAGGTCTATGCCTGGGGCCTGAACGAAAAGGGCCAACTGGGCCTCAGCGATCAGCAGAACCGATACGAGCCAGTTGCTGTGGAGGAGCTCAGGCCGTACACAGTCACACAAATCCTGGCAGTGGAGCCCTGATAGCAGCGAGTCCCAAAGCGTTGCTGTGTTTTCCAGAGCTGGTAGTGAAGAAACGTGTAATTTCTGAAGACTTTTATGTAAAATCGACTTCTTGAAAGACTACATTCCACAGGGATTGCCGTGCCATTGCCAAAGTTAATTTTTCCGTTACATTCTGCCCAGGACAATATGAGCTATGCTCTCACCAGCCACGGCAGAGTATATGCCTGGGGCGATAATACTGATGGCAGTTTGGCGCTGGAGCATGACAAAGCAGTCGTTGACAAGCCAGAGCCGATGATGCGAATGCAGGGAACAGAGGTGCAGAAGCTTGTGGTCAGAGACTGTGGGGGATCTGGAGGCAAGGGGAAGACTGTGATTGCCTTTGTGGAGCTTGCTGAGCCACTGCCTCCCAAAGACACCATCGGTGGTTTTGAGAGACCTCTTGGCGGGGCTGAAGCCGGGCCAGAAAAGCTTGTGTTGTCCGATGACATGGAAAGGGACATTTTCGAAGGAGTTGATCTAATGCGACAAGTCATGGACAATACGCAGGATTGGTGGGAGCACATATTGAAGGTCCGTCATGGTTCCCCGTACAACGACAACCCGTTACAGACAGATGATACTGCCGACAAGAAAGATGAGGATAGCTGCACAGCTATGCAGTTAGATACATATGTTGGCCTGGACCAGCTCGAAGATGCATCATACGAGCTCGACAAGTTTATTCAGTCTGCACGTGCGCAGCTCTTCGAGATACGCAAGAAAAAGGCACCAGCCGTGGGGAAGGGGAGGGCGGGGGCATCTGATTCAGCATGCAACGTCAGGGAACCAAGAACGTGAAGTTCATGCACCTTGGACAGGATTTGCACTTGAAGTTGGCTCCCTGTGCGTGCCATGTAGACAGTTGTAGCAGGTGGCCACGAAACAAACATCAGGGCACATCAGCGGATGCTAAGGCTATCTTTGTTCATGGACGACTGCAAGCTTAGCTCCTCGCTCGATCAACAGCAGCTGCTGAACACATACCGGCTAACTGCGTTTGGAGTTTCTCCCAGCAACAGCTCTTCCAAGGACGGGAAAAGATTCGAAGAACTGTTGCAGCCCGCCAACTCATTGAGCACAAAAGAGCGCTCTTCAGCAGAAATTATCAAGTTTTCCCAGAAACGATCAAGAAGTACAGCATTGCGGCTTGTAATCTGAAGACCAGAAGGCTGCTCAGACACAAAGTTTGCTTGTTAGGAATGCCTCGTCAGCAGCAGAAGATCCTTTGAAAATGGGCTGCCTGGCAAAGACTGGGACCATGAGGGTGAAGAGATTCGTTGAATGAGCTTTGTGATGTCCAGCATGCCCGAGGCAAGGATCGAGCTTCGGCCTACTTGCAGCAAGAGCCGGAGAACATCTCTGCACAGTTGACAAAGGCACAAGAGCCGTGCGTCCAGTTTCCCAGGAGCCCGTAGTTGGCTAACGCTGTTCAGGTTCGTAATTTGAAGACGTACGACATCTTCACACGCGTGCTTCAGGACCCGTCATTGGAGGTCTGCGGTTTGTGTGTGGGACTGGATTGGGCGCTGTAGTGATGTTGAGCCCCAAGCCGTTGCGTCAGCTAACGCGCGCCTCTTTTAAAAGCAAATCTAGGAAATGATGTCGTTGATTGTGGCAAGGGCATCTAACAGAGTCACCTGCATGCTGCATGTACTTGAGGACAGTATCGCCGAGATTTTCGAAGCGAAGCTGCAGGTAGGAACCGCATGTTTGGGTTTTGGACCGTGTCGCTCAGACCGCATTCATCCTTCATCCTGGCAGGCATTGGGGCTCCAGGAGGAGATTTTGAAGACGAGATCAGGGCGGACCGGAGACGTAGCCATGCCAAGCTGTCGCCTCAGTTGAGAGGAATTCCATCGCGCCGGCTTGAAGGGGAAACTTGACACGGGCTGGAAGTCCGCCTCCCTTAGGTCTCAAAATCATAATGAGCAGATGGGCGGAGACTTGGATGAAGATATGCCTGCTTCGATGTGTGTGGATGACAGCCAAGCCGAGGACCTGAAACGCTTCTCGATCTACAACTTGTACCAAGAGTGCAACCTGCGAGGGCAGGGCTTAGCATTCAACTCGGCAGCTTCTCTGCAAGTAAATTAAAGCTTGCTTGTCTGGAAGCGTTTCTGGTCCTTGTGGCTAAGGATGATGAGATGTTTTCATTCTTGGTATCGAGCTCTGATGCCAAGATCGATCAAATAATTCAGTGGCGTGCATGCAAGAGACAACGCTTGAAGCGTGACATGCCTTTGCACGCTGTCCAATAATGACGATTTCTGCAGGATAGACCATGACCGCTTGGTCTCAAGAAGCGCAGCTGCAACAACACCTGAAGCTCATACAGTTTTGCAACTGCAGAGAGCATGCTCGGCAGCCCAGGAGACAGTCATGTTCCAAGCTTGTGCTACGAGCTTCTGACAGAGAACGCTGAGCTCAGGCAGATTGACTGCTTTCATAATGCAGAAACATTTACGTGAAACTCACGTGGCAGGAAAATGTGCAACGCTTACCAGCTGAAGGTGCTGCTCCAGAAGGTTGAGGCCATGAGTCGTGGAATAGGTGCAAGGCTATTGTACTTCCATGTTGGTGCAACTCATTTACTTACCTTGAGCTGAGGCTAGGTCTTGCGTACTTTTAGCTCACTTTCTTTCACTTTTGATCATGGTGCCCGTGGGCAGGGCGAGAGCAACCAGAAAGTCGTGCCTCAGCTGTTAATGTATGCAAAGTTGTTGCCTATTGGCTTGCCCCAGTACTGGCTCCCCATCGACGACGGCTGACCTCGTTGAAGTGACCGCAGTGTGAATGTATGTGACTGCTTGAAACCTCGTTGGCGTGCATGGCGCTCACAAGTTCCAACAGTTTACAGCAAGGGATGCCAGACACAATCTAGACGTGCCGACTTTTGAGGCAGCTTCGCGGGCGACATCAAGACATCCAACCGAGATGACAACTGTGTATCCCAACTGCACTTGAAGTCCTTGCCTGTTGGGCATGGAAGTCGCTGACCAACCCTGGTGACTGAGGTGACACAGGGTGCCAGGTCCTGCCTCCCCAGTGCGGTGTACAGTGTACATAGTGGCGTTATGCTCGGCTTGCATCCCCCTACTCTCCAAGAGAACTCTGACCTCGGCAAAAGCTTCGAGATGATTTAGATACCGTCTCACTAATAGTGTTCAAGACACGTCTTGGGCATGCAACAGGCAATCTGCGAAGACAGAAGCAAGAAAGACTTGAAATTGACGAGTTTCTCGAAGGACTGGAAATTGAAATCATCCGAATTAGAAACGATTTATCATCTGAATCAATGCGAAGTAGCCAGATTGGTGCTGGGAACGACAGATTCTCGATGAGACGAATTATTATCTCGAAGATATCAAAATTGAAAACGATATAACGATATAACCCCTTTACGATTATGGGGATTGATTTTTCTGGATCTCTGTTAAATATCTCCGATGGATTTCTTCGGATTATTTAATTTTTCATTCTTCTATCATTGATTCGTATTTATTGAGATGTGTACGTCGAATTTGATAGTTGAGAAAATAATGAATACTATTTGCCGAGATTTTATTGATATTTTATATATGATGAAATCTGAAATATTTCAAAATTTTGCGCGATTATATACGATTATTTCGTTCGCGCGCGGTTTAATTCTTCTGCCTTAACTCTAATACGTTTTGCGGGATCACTAGGGATTCTGGAATCCGTATTTTTTAGAATTTTTCAGAAAATTAGAAGCTCTAAAATTTTTAAGATTTTCGATATGGGGAACGCGATTTATTTTTTAGAGATTTTTGGTCGCACGTCCCTTGCTTCTGGAATAGATTTCTGCGTAGTTTATTTCATTTTGATTTTCTTCGCTGTTATTCGAAGGAAAATAAAGAATGGAGACGAAGGATAAATATTTTTCAGAATTTATTATTTGAATGAATTTGTCTGCGGGATTTTATGCGCTCTTCTGAACCGTCGTATAGATAATTTAAGAGAGATAAATGAAATAAAAAGATTGGGTTGATGCGGGAGCCGCGCATCTAGGAATTATCTCGAATTATGTTTCTCTCTGCGGCTATCTACGTGGCGGCTCGATATAATTTACAAAGCCGAGGGACGGATATCTAAAATCTTTCGGCTTGCTTCCGGAGCGGGCTTCCATATAATTTATCTCTCCATAGCTATCTGCGAAGTAGTTCGGCGGAACGCAAATACGCGGGACGTAGGAACCAAATTCTTTCAGAATTTATCGGCTTGCCGTAGCTGCCTACGGGGATTTATGCGCTCCCCTGATTCGCCGTGCAGATAAGCTAATAGAGATAAATGAGACGGAAATATTGGGCTGGATGCGGAAGCCGCGCGACCAAGAATTTGCCGAGATTTCGAATTTTCTCTCTTTGCGGCTGTATGCGCGGCAGCTCAACGGAATTTATAGAATCGTGGCGGATATCCAAAATCTCGTTTGCCTCCGGAATCTTCTTCCGTATGATTTCTCTTTTTTCAGTATATGCGCTGCTATTCGGCGGAACCAAAGATCTGGGACGGAGAATCAAAATCTTTCAGAATTATCGGTTGGTCGTTTGGCCGTACGTATCTGCCTAGATTTATATCTTCCCCGAGCCGCTGCTCAGATAACCTAAGAGAAATAAACGAAGCGAAAAAAGATTGTACTAGATGCCCGAGATTCCGAAGTATTTCTCTCCTTCTACGGCTGTCTGCGCGGTGGCTCGACGAGATTTATAGATCCGAGACGGATATCTAAAAATTATCAGAATCTATAAGGTCGTTTTTATCACGTGCAATTTTATTATAATGACCGTATATCGGGCTTCACGCGCGGCCCTATATCTTGATTTTTTCATAAGATTTCTCAATATAGAAATTCTCAAACTGATATTTTCCGTTATTATAAGTAGCGGATCAATTCTAATATATAATGAATTGATGAAATTCCGTATGCAGAGAGAAAAAAAAAGCTTCTAGTAATTCTAATAAATTCTATTAGATCAAAAGAAATAATGCTTCTCTAGTCCCTTTATTGCGGAGAAGCAATAATTC